ATGCGTTTTATTGCAGGTGTTCGCCTATTCTACGAACTATTTATCATGTGCTGGTAAATGGTTTTTTCTTCTATTCTAGCAGAGAAGTGCTCGAGAATGTGCGACAGAATGCTTCGACTGTGCAGAGCCATATTATTCATTAGAACACTTGAAACAAATTATTTAGTCATGCGTCATTCCTGAAGGGTTGGCTCTTGGCGCACTTAGCCGGGTGCGGCGACGTGTAGTATGTTGTTTACCAGCTAAATTGTACGGATCTCAGAAATACGCATTCCTGCATTTCTTGGTGAAAACATCGCTACGAGCGCACTGCTCACCCACTAAATCCCTGTCGGCGTCTCTCCTTGCTTTTATTTATTCAGTTCCGCTATCCACTTTTGATAGACAGCTCCTTGGATGCTGTGTGTGCACGCTTTGCCCCGTGCACCTCGTATACGTGTCAGGGCCGTTACATATGTCCACTTACACTTCTATAGGCATTTGTTCGGGCTACGCCATTCAGCTACTGCCTCCTCATACTATAGCAGGCGATATGTAATTTTAAATGCTTTGCTGAAGTCCAGAATAATTAGATCGGTTTGATATATGTCCCTTGTCCATCAACTCTGCGAGTTAATGTCAGGTCAGGGACTGCGTCCTGCAGTTTCTACGCTGCATGACAATCGATTAAAAGTTTCTTTCTGTCCGAAACCCTGCCAAACCATTGATTTGCTTATATTTGGTAGCATTGCCACATATCTGGTTACAATTTAATAGTTCCTATATATGTAACGTGTGTGTGCATGCTTGTGTGTGAGAGCATGTGAAAATAAAAACATGCTGTTACTGCAGGGCCGTAGGCTAAGCAATTCCTGGGGGGGGGGGAGGGCAAAATTTCACTACTAGGCTTAGGTGGCTTCTGAGATTTCACCACTAGCCTATACTCAACTGTGTAATGATGAGCGACGGGCGCAGCTGAGCTCTTGATCGACGTCTATAGTGTGATAGGGGTGGGTCTGAGACAAGGCTTTCACGGATAAGTGACAAAAAAATCACGTTAGGGTTATTTACGGTTATTAGCTAAGCTTATTTTTTTAATTTTGCTCCAAAATCTAGGGGGCGCAGCTGCCCCCCTTTCCCCAGAGCCGTATATAGAGATACTATATACGGCTCAGCCTTTCCCCCCACAGGCTACGGCCCTGTAAACTGTTATGTCTAGATTCATACAAACACATACAGACATATACAGACACAGTTATAAAAGGAATTTAATTTATTTAATATATATATAAACAATATTATAAATTGCTGTTGATTACATTGTGTGTAGCAAAACACTCTTGAGAACAATGCCAACAATGCCAGATGAATATAATTGCATAATATATAGCCAGTGTGAGGGAAACATTAGAAGAAAGTAATGTAGCATTTAATTAAATAATAGACTACACACCGGCACGCACGCATATATTAGTTAATATCCAGCTACACTACAACTTATTATCAGTGGATTACACATAAGCGATTGCCATTTGACTGGCTTATTTACAGGCCATATACACGACTAAAACACAAAACATTATATATATATATATATATATATATATATATATATAATAAATCTCTGATTGGAAATGTGAAGGCTGACAAGATAAAATTAATTCAAAACTCCAATGAATGTTCTGCTGTAATTCGTGCTGCCTAGTCAAGGTCATAACTAGCTGCCTAATAGCGCAATGTACAAGATTACTCCTGTTCGATCAACCTTACGACCAGAATAGAACATCTGAGCAGTTCGAAGCAAACCAAAATGCGTCTGGAGAAAGTCAATCCTGCTGAAAGCTGGCTATTGCCATTACCGCATAAACTATCTTGCTTCTAGATTTATCCATGATCAAAATAAAAGGTTGAAGTCCATAAAAATCAAGATTTGACACTACGTTATGCAACTAACTCAAAACATGCAGATAAACTCTTTACCATATTTTGGTTATTGCCAAGACTGTTATGTTGCCATGTATTGCACGATTACATATAATGAAACCGCAATATACAAAACAAGTAGTTTGAATAGCAAGTCAACATAAACAAAGCTGCAGTCCTAACAAATTACGGTATACCACTGAAGAGTTAGCCTTTTCTCTAGTGAAATACAAGATTGTGTTTCCAACAACAGGTCACATAACTCAGTCATATTAAATTGTCTTCAATCATTTAAGCCTGCCCTAAGAAGTCCCCACTCACCCGCTCCTCATCTCCACCTATCCATCCATGTTGCTGTTCATTGTATCTGGCCAATAGTCAGTAATGCTATATACACGTGCAGTGTACAAATTGCACTAATTATTTTATGACACATTTTAGCATTGCCAATGCTTACACATTATTTCTGTTTGCCTGGCTTCTGTAGACTGACACATCTAGTATGATGTCATATGACAACCACCCTCAGCTAACACTGCGCATCACAATTACCCATGACACTGCTACCACAGCATCACATCCGTACACTGATGAGAGCAGGTAGACGTGGCGTTTGCCACAAAAGCAATAGCAATGTAAGTGTGCACATGAATCACATCATAGCTGTGAGCTGTTCACGCAGCGCACGAAGCTGCTTCAGTACCGTTTCCAGCAGGCTTCTTTCGTTCCTTTTCTGGTTTTTTCATCGATGTGAACACACTCCCGTTTTCTTCATGCATTGCTGATCTAGAAAATAGAGGTTAAAATATGTATGTGATGAACCTAGAGAATGGCTCTCAAATTTTAAAACATCAAGGAAGTCGAAAGTAAATCTTGGTAACTGTAAATTTAAATATTAATTAGTTTTGTCATTAGTCCTAAGGTTGAGTAACAGACATCAATACCTACTGCCACCTGCGTTCTAATCGCGACGCAACCGTCAGGGACAGACTAGTTGTCAAAAATGTCATGCTAGTCAATATAAGAACTAATTAAAAAATTTGAATTACCAGTTAATTGACTCTTGAACGTGGTTTTTTTAGTTTTCTGACAGTTTTCCATATTGCCACAATCATGAATGTCTGTTCTTTCACATATACTGCTTACTTACTTTCTACTAGTACCACAGCAGTCATGTGAGACACTAGAAGAATACTTGTTACGGTCCTTTCCAAAATCAGCCAGATATGACGACCAGTCATCCGACATGGCCAAGTCCAGGAATCTATAGAGTGTATATATATATATATATATATATATGGTCATGGTCATATATTAGTTTGTGCGTTTAATGTCATTTAGGTTAGGGTTAGGATTATCAATCATTAATCATTAATGATATCAAAGTTGGGAACACTCCTAATGGAGCGTTAGCCCCTGCAACCGAAAGCCAACTACAAACTTTTTCATACCACTGACGCAGCTCTGAAAATGTCATTGAGAGCTCCAACAGTAAACCAGGCACTGGCTCCAAACTAGCAAACGCTACAAAAGGAGTTGTAGTTAGAACAGAAAAGCGCAACAATTATACCCCATCCCCTCATTACACAGAGTCAGGTACTCCTCACAAAGTAAGATAATCATCTGCAGGAATGCAAGTCTCTGCACATGGACTTGGGTACACTTTCCAAAGTCAGTATGATAAATGCTCTGCAAGAATGCAAGTCCCTGCACCAATGAGCATGGTACTG